ATCGTCGTCCGTTTATAATCTCCCCTCCAGCTACAGCTTTAGCTTCGGGCTGTGGAGTCAGCAAAGTTCCTACTATCTCTGAAAGTCTTTAACTGGCCTAGTGTTCTCTGAACGTAAAACAATACCCAAGTAGTTTTGGTTGGGGTGGGCCAAAGACATGGATCTATTACCTCAGTTTAAATCCAAGGGAGGGTTGTGGGGTAGGAAAGAGGAGATAACAAAAGGCTGCAAGAATTTAGCTTGCAGTTTGGGAGAGTCTGGTCTTGCACCTTGTCAAAAAAAAACAATTGCTAAAGGGACAGCCACCCAGAAGCAGTCTGTCACAGATAACAGAAAAACGAAAGAATTGCGGAAGCTATAAATCAGAAACAAAAATAGACATTGCTGGGAAAGCTCAGCAGGTCTGACAGCATCTGTGGAGAGAAATCAGAGTTATTGTTTCGAGTCCGGTGACCCTTCCTCAGAACTGAGGAAGAATCAGCCGACCCGAAATGTTAACTCTGATTTCTCTCCACAGATGCTGCCAGACCTGCTGAGCTTTTCCAGCAACTTCTGTTTTTGTGTCAGAGATAGGTTTACTGTAAAATCTTCACTCTGCCTATCAAGGAGAATGTATGCATCCCATTACTTCTTGATAATTGCCATTTCTCAACAAGAGCACTTCCCATAGGATATCTGATCGTCATGGATGAGTTGGACCGAAGGGTCTGAATCCACGCTGTCCATCTCTGTGACTCTAAACCTGTAACCCCCACACACCAGTTCACCATTCAGGGCAGGTAGTTATGTCTGGGCCCAACACATAAATAACCATCTGCTATTTGACACTACTCTCAGTAATTTTTAAAAATCATTTGTGGGATGGGCCAGAGTTTATTCCATCCCTAGTTGCCCTGCGAAAGGTGCCTTCTTGAACCGCTGCCATCCATGCACTGTAGTTCAAATTGCAATGATATCCATAATCTACCAATGGAGAGGGTTCAGAAGAAATTTACCAGGACGTTGCCGGGTACGGAAGGTTTGAGTTCTAAAGAAAGGCTGGATAGGCTGGGACTTCTTTTTACTGGAGCTTAGGAGGTTGAGAGGCAACCTTATATAAGTCTATAAAAGTAATGACGGGTATAGATAGAGTTAATGGTAGTTGTCTTTTTCCTAGAATGGGGGATTTCAAGACTATTTTTAAGGTGAGAGGAGAAAGATTTTAAAAAAGACATGAGGCGCAAATTTATTACGCAGAGGGTGGTTCACGTGTGGAATGAACTTCCTCAGGAAGTGGTGGATATGGGCACAATTACAATGCTAAACGACATTTGGATAAGTACATGAATAGGAGAGGTTTAGAGGGATATGGGTCAGGAGCAGGCAGATAGGACTAGTTTAATTTGGGATGATGTTCAGCATGGACTGGTTGGGCTGAAGGGTCTGTTTCTGTGCTGTACGACTCTATGATTGTGGTAAAATCCCATCTCGTTTGCTAATAGCATTGAGGGATTGAAATCTGCTACTCCCATGCAGCCTGGCCCTACGTATCAGTCGACACCTATAACAGTGTATAGGCTGTATTAGACATTAGTTAAGCCGCAGCTGGAGTATTGCTGGTCACCACATTGTGGCAAGGACATAATCGCCCTCAAGACGGTGCAGAGGAGGTTCACGCATGATGCTGCCTGGGCTGCAGCAGTACAACCGTGAAGAGAGATTAGAGAGGCAGAGAAGGTTGAGGACAGGACTTGATTGCAATGTACAAAATTATGAGAAGCATAGATAGGGATAAACTTAGTGGACAGGTCAGTAATGAGGGGACATCGTTTTAAGGAGCAGGAAGTTTAAGACAGGATTTGTTTCACTCAGAGGGTAGCAGTATCTCAAACTCACTGCCTGAAAGGGTGGTAGAGGCAGGAGCCATCACATTATATCAAACGTTTATTGGTCAGTGCATTGAGCATAGGAGTTGGGAGGTTCATGTTGCTGCTGTACAGGACATTGGTTAGGCCACTTTTGGAACGCTGCATGCAATTCCAGTCTCTCTGCTGTTGGAAAGATGTTGTGAAACTTGAAAGGGTGCAGAAAAGATTTACAAGGATGTTGCTACGGTTGGAGGGGTTGAGCGGTACAGTAGCTCAGTGGTTAGCACTGCTGCCTCATGGCGCCAGGGACCCGGGTTCGATTCTGTCCTCAGGTGACTGTCTGTGTGGGTTTCCTCCGGGTGCTCCAGTTTCCTTCTGCACAAAGATGTGGAGGTTAGGGTGCATTGGCCGTGCTAAATTGTCCCATAGTGCTCAGGAATGTGCGGGTTAGGGTGGATTGGCCGTGCTAAATTGTCCCATAGTGCCCAGGGATGTGCAGGTTAGGGTGGATTGACAGTGCTAAATTGTCCCATAGTGCCCAGGGATGTGCGGGTTAGGGTGGATTGGCCGTGCTAAATTGTCCCGTAGTGCCCAGGGATGTGCGGGTTAGGGTGGATTGGCCGTGCTAAATTGTCCCATAGTGTCCCAGGGATGTGCGGGTTAGGGTGGATTGGCCGTGCTAAATTGTCCCATAGTGTCCCAGGGATGTGCGGGTTAGGGTGGGTTGGCCGTGCTAAATTGTGTCCAGGGCTGTACAGGCTAGGTGGTATAGCTATGCAAAATGCAGATTTCCAGGATAGGGCGAGTGGGGATGGGAATGGGTGGGATGCTCTTCGGAGTTTGTTGTGGACTTGATGGGCTGAACAGCTTGCTCCCGCACTGTAGGGATGCTATGAAGTTTAATGAGTCAGGGCATTAAGTGTAGGAGTTAGGAGGCCATGTTGTGGCTGTACAGGACACTTTTGGAATACTGCGTTTAATGCTGCTCTCCCTGCTATTGGAAAGATGTTGTTAAACTTGAAAGGGTTCAGAAAACATTTACAAGGATGTTGCCAGGTTTGGAGATTTTGAGCTGTAAGGAGGGGCTATTTTCCCTGGAACATTGGAGACGGAGGGGTGACCTTATAGAAATTTATAAAATCATAAGGTGCATTGATAAGGTGAATAGTGAAGGTCTTTTTCCCAGGGCAGGGGTGTCTAAGACTATAGGGCACAGGTTTAAGGTGAGAAGGAAAGATTTAAAAGGGACCGAAGGGGCAACTTTTTCACACAGAGGGTGGTGTGTGTAGGGAATGAGCTGCCAGAGGAAGCGGTGGAAGCTGGTACAATTACAACATTTAGAAGGCATCTGGATGGGTACATGGATAGGAAGGGTTTAGAGGGATATGGGCCAAATGCTGGCAAATGGGACTAGATTTATTTAGGACAGGATCTGTTTCCATGCTGTACATCTCTGACTCTAAATGGAACTTGATTAATCTAGGATACCTGTTCGGCACAGACAAATTGGACGAAAGCGTCATACAGCACGGAAACAGATATTTTGGTCCAATTCGATCCCATTTAGAGTCATAGAGATGTACAGCACGGAAACAGTCCCTACGAATCTAAGTATTTTGGTGATCACTTGACCTGTTGTAACGTATAAAGCCAAGTGCTGTAAGATGGGACTAGAATAAATAGATGATTGGTAACAGGCTTTGAAAAGATGGGCCAAAGAGCCTCTTTCAGTGCTATAAAATTCTCTGACTGACGTGGTTTGTACTTGACTGATCTCAAGAGCACTTGGGGATGCAGAACAAACACTGGCTTTGCCTGTTTTGTTCACATCCCGTGAATGAATATTTTTTTAAAAATGCCACTGCGCAGATAACAATTCCATCACTGTGACCTTCTGTGAACACAAGATAAACTGGTCAGTCATCTCGTCTCTGCATCGGAATATCTGCCCTTGTTTTGCCTGTAAGCAGCCCAGAGCATTTCCAAAGCAAATCATTGTCAGAAGCATTTTGATAGGAAAAAAAAATGCATCAGAAGTCAAGCCGTTTGTCCGTTCTCCCTCATGTCGAAATGCTAGTGATCACTGTCAAGGGCTGAACAAGAATTAGGCTTTGCTGAGCAAGGTGGCTACAGATAAGGAACAGACAGTTAACGCCCTGGAAACATTCCCAGCAAAATTAAAACGTTTTGTTCTCAAGTGTGTCGAAGCAATTAAAAACCGGCAGAGTGTGTAAACAAACAGGGGGAGTCAACGCTTCAGGAGAGGAGGGGAGCTACAGAAGAGAGGCACGAAACAAAATAAGACATTTTTATCTCAGCTGTAACAACAATGAATTTATATAATACCTTTGGTGAAGCTAAGTGTCCCAAAGAAGGTTAACAAAGCTGACACCGAGCTACGTAACAGGAAACAAGTGACTCAGAGTTTGGTCTGAAAGCTGGGGTTTAAGAGATGTCATAATAAATGAGAGAGAGGAAACAGGCCATTTGGCCCAACAAGTCCACACTGCCCCTCTGAAGAGCATCCCACCCAGATCCATTCCCCTACCCCTGCATTTCCCATGTCTAACCCACCCAACCTAAACATCCCTAGGCACTATAGCATAGCCTACACTGCACATCTTTGGACCGTGGGAGGAAAGCAGGGCACTCGGAGCAAACCCGCACAGACAAAGGGAGAATATGCAAACTCCACACAGACAGTCGCCCGAGGCTGGAATTGAACCCAGATCACTAGCGCTGTGAGGCAGCAGTGCTAACCACTGAGCCACCGTGCGAGTTCAGATTAGTTTCGTTTGATGTGATTTATTGTAGTCACATGTACCTATGTACAGTGAAAAGTTTTGTTTTGTGAGCAGATCATAGCAAACAATGACATACAGATCGTAGGGTGCCTAGGCAGAGCGCAGCATACAAAGTTTTGGATGAACTCATGAGGAGGTTGGGCAGGAGTGTGACAGAATACTCTGTCAGAGAGGTTACAGTGATATGGCTGAGGCTTTCAGCAGTGGATGTGCTTAGCCAGAGATGAAGACAGGCAATGTTTACAAGAGGTGGGAAAAGGCAAACTTGCTGATGAGAGACGGAGTTGGGGAGAGAGAGGGAGGGAGAATTAGACGCACACTTTGTACAATTCCACATGACACGAATAACTCCATTTCAACTTTTACTGGAATTGTTTGAATTCTGTAAAACAATCCCACTTTTAAAAAAACAAAATTTGTCATGTATTTCGTGTGGGTAGGCTGCTATCGCCCACAGGCAGATGAGAAAGGAGTTAGTGAGCCTTTTATCTGGAATATCTCCTTCCAACAGACATCTTAAAAGATAAAACAAAACAGTGTCTGAATTCCCCTCCCTGATCGCTGGTGGTGTCATTTAAAACTAAACATGAACCAATTGAAAATTAACATCCTTCTGGGTAATTTGCAAATCAATTTTCAATAGGGTTGCACTTCCTGGTAGAAACAAGTGACTATGGGCTGTTCTTTTCATAGCCAGAGCTTTCAACTAGAGTCCATGAGTGGTACAGAGCAACTGGAGGCTACTGGTCAGGGGAATTTCAGTCAAATGGAGCTAGTGTCTGCCTCCAGAGCTTCTTAAGGCTCACTGTTTCACAGCATAATGCACAACGTAGGCATAATAATTAGGAGCAGGAAGAGACCATTAGGCCCCTTTGAGCTTTCTCTCCCCAACAAAGCCATCACGCAGCTAATCTTCCAACCCTATCCCCATTCCCCTTAGTGTCAAAAAAAAGGAGAAATTTCTTCTCGTCTCATTTCAAAAACAGCTGACTTCTTAACCGGAGATCGTGACCCCTCTCACACTGTTTCTCACACAGTTGCAGATTCCCTAGCCAAGGGGGAAAGCAGTCTGTCTGTATCTATCCTGCCAGGGATCATCTAAGTTTCAATGAGATCAACTCATTGTCGATACACAATATACACTTAGGCTCACTAATGCAGGCGGTGAGCATGGTTTTAAATGTAAAGGTCTAAAAAAAAGGTACGAGTTGTTGAAGTGGAAAAGCAGTCTTCCCCTCGACACACTTAACATTGCTGCGTTGGAGGTGCTATTGTCACATTTTTAGCAGTCTGACCTATCATCAATAAGCAGTCACCTCGATTAAAAAACTTTCTTGTGGGGAGAAATTGCATTCATCACGCACTTAGGCTTAAAAAAAAACGATCAGTAAGAGCATCCAGTCTGTAGATTGCGACGTTGTGTCCTTAGGAGGTTCACGTTGCCAATTAATTTTCTTTCACCCGACCTCTGTTAAGGAATAGTCAATGCAAAACGAGCAGGGGGGAGTCGAGCGGACGGTCAGTCTCCTTCCTGCTCGCCCCGGACGAGCTGCTGGACTGAGGAATCCTTGGTCAGATCCTCCACATCGTGGTAGCCGGTGTCCAGGCGGTGAGGGGCTCGGAATGATGTCGCCCGTTGTAGAAACTCCTGGTGCATCCTGACCTCTGCCTCTTCGTCGCTTTCCAGTGGCCTGTTGATTTCCGATTCCTCGTCCAATGAGCTGCCTGTGGAAACAGAGCAAATCCACACTTAACCGAGTGGGGTGCACCGATAACCACAAACCAGAAACCATTGCAAAACAAAAAAAGTGTATAAAATCCTAACCAGGCCACCAAGATGTGGCCTAGTGGTGTAACTGCTGGACTGTTAATCCAGAGACCTAGCTAATGTTCCAGGGACATGGGTTCGAATCCTGCCACGGCAGAAGGTGGAATTTGAACTCAATAAATATCTGGAATTGAGAGTCTAATGATAATCATGAACCCATTTTCAGTTGTCAGGAAAACTCATCTGGTTCACTAATGTCCTTCAGGGAAGCGAAACTGCCATCTTGACCTGGCCTACACGTGACTCCAGACCCACAGCAATGTGGTCGACTCTTAACTGCCCTCTGGGCAGTTAGGGATGGGCAACAAATACCTGGGCCTAGCCAGCAACACACACATCCAGCGAATGAATTTTAAAAAAATAAACATTTAGAAGACTGCGGATGCTGGAGATCTGAAGTAAAAACACTTTCAGACAAATTAGTTACAGAATGCAAGGTGTTGGGGAAACACGGCAGGTTTAGCAACACTCTGTGGTGACAGAGTTAGTGTTTTTGAGTCCAGTGACCTTTCTGATGAAGGATCATGGATTCCCTACACTGCAGATAGAGGCCATATCAGCCCATCAGCCCACCAACCCTCCAAAGAGCATCCCACCCAGTCTCACCAATCCCCTATCCCTATAACCCCGCATTTCCCATGGCTAACCCGCCTAGCCTGCACATCCCTGGACACTACTGCACAATTTAGCACAGCCCATCCACTAACCTGCACAATTTTGGACGGTGAGAGGAAACCGGAGCACCTGGAGGAAGCCCATGCAGACACCCGAGGGTGAAATCGAACCCAAGTCCCTGGCACTGTGAGGCAGCGGTGCTAACAACTGAGCCACTGTGCCAGATCATACCGGCCTTGAAACGTTAACTCTGTTTATCTGTCTCCGAAGATGTTGCCAGATCTGCTGAGTTTCTCCAGTAATTGCCGTCTTTGCAACTCATTTGCCTGTCTAAGTGCCACTCGGGCAAATCACACCAAGTTTTGACGATCGTGAAAATAATTGGCAGGAACTAACGCGGCAGAGAAGAGAGAGAATTCCTAAATCTACTGTTGTACAACTTACACTATATCCCATTTAGAAACTCCAAAGACATGCACACTCAGTCACAATTAAAGCAGACAGTCTGAGTCAGATATTATGGTAAACAAAATCTCAAAGATCAAAAGTGCAGATCTCTTAGATGCTTATCTTGTACAGTTCCTTTATTTTCTGTTCTGAGGAAGGGTCACCGGACCCGAAACGTTAACTCTGTTTTTTCCCTTCACAGATCCTGCCAGACCTGCTGAACTTTTCCAGAAAGATAACAAGGTGTAGAGCTGGATGAACACAGCAGGCCGAGCAGCATCAGAGGAGCAGGAAAGCTGACGTTTCGGGTCGAGAGCTTTTCCAGCAACTTTGTTTTTGTTCCTGATTTACAGCATCTGCAGTTCTTTCAGTTTTTAGTTCCTTTATTTTGGCTGGCTTGTTAGACCATAAAACCTCAAGGTACAAGAGCAGAATCAGGCCATTCGGCCCATCGAGCCTGCTCTGCCATTCGATCATAGCCGATATAATTCTCAGCACCATTCCCCTGCCTTTTACCCCAACCCTTGATATCGCCCTTACTCATCAAGAACCTATCTCTGTCTTAGATACACTCAATGATTTGGCCCCCACAGCCCTCTGAAGCAATAGGTTCTACAGATTCCCCACCCTCTGGCTGAAGAAATTCCTCATCTCAGTTCTAAACAGTCGTCCCTTCACTCTGAGGCTGTACCCTCGGGTCCTAGTCTTTCCTCCTGGTGGAAACATCTTCTTCACATCCCACTCTGTCAGTAAGGAGCATGCACATTAGTAAGAGATATCTCAAAATATAATTATGAATTGTTACAATAACTGATTAATTATTCTATTTTAATGAAACAATAATCAGTGGTGCATGGATTTTATCCAACAGATCCTATCAGGACAGGAGGCCATTCACTTGGATATATATCTGATGTGCATTTTCTCTCCACCTACTCATCCAAGCCTCTGCTCCCCTTGACACCATTGGCCAGAGATCTCAGGCTTAAAAATGAATAATTACACAGGAATCCACTGCTGCTTGCGAAGGGGTCCACATTCCAGCCATCCCCGGTGTCAAAACAACATTTTCAAACTTCTTATCTGAACAATTCAATTCCGATTTTAAGGCCACGTCCTCTGAACCTAACCCCCTACCCCAGACCCCACTAGCGGAAATGTTTCTATTTACCAATCTGCTCTGTTACTTCCAAAATAACAACGGCATCTACTGCATTTGCTGCTTACAATGTGGTCTGCTCTACACTGGGGAAACAAAATGCAGACTGGGTGGCCGCTTCGCAGAACATCTACGTTCTGTCCTCAAAAGAGACCCTAAGCTTCCAATTGCCTGCCACTTTAACATGCTGCCCTGTTCCCTGGCCAACAGCAAAGCCCCGCGCAAACTGGAAAAAACAGTACTTAATTTTCCACTTGGGAACTCTACAGCCTTCTGGATTCAATTTGGAGTTCAACAACTTCAGGGCTTGAGCTCTCCCATGTCCTTACCCCAAACCCCTCCTCACCAGGCGTTGTCATCACAGTCTGCTATTACACACTACCCATTGTTAGCCATTAACAGTCCCCATTAACAGCTATTCACCCTCCCAGCCTAATCATTATCTACTCCTTTGTATGTCCAACTGTTTTTCTCTCTCTTTGGGCTCCACCTCCACCTCCAATTTACTCCTTAACCCCTCCCCCCACCCTATCTTCTGCATAAAAACCAACAACATTTTCCAAGCTACCATCCGTTCTGACGAAGGGTCACTGGACCCGAAACATTAACTCTGATTTCTCTCCACAGATGCCGCCAGACCTGCTGAGCGTTTCCAGCGATTTCTGTTTTTGTTTCTGATTTCCAGCATCTGCAGTTATTTCACCTTTTTTCTCCTCCCAAAACCACCACCACCGCCCCCCCCGCCGCACTTTTAACCTTCTACACTCCAGGAAATACAAGCCTATTCTGTAATCTGAACCATCTCACTGGGCGAACAATTGTTTTCCCAGAAAATAACTTGGCAGGAAAATAACCTCTTTAAAAGAGGGATTAAACAATTCCATTTTGTTCCTTGAAAAGCCTAATTAGTTTTCCTTTTATAGACTTTCGTGTCTGTTCCCTGCCATCAAGCACTAAAACTTCCTGCTGATTGTTAAAATGAATCATCTACATACTTAATCTCTCCCTTCATTGATGCGAAAGAATTTATTTTTCTACCATATCTCTTCCCTTTTACAAAAGGGTTATTGTAATAGCATGAAGATGCCTATCAGATTCACTCTAACCAGTTTCACGAGGCTAGGGACAGGCAAGCCAGGGGTATAGCAGAACTCATAGATGACAGAGCGTTTCCAAATTGCACACTGTAAACAGATATGAAATACAGTGAACGAATTAATGTCTACAAACAGTCATTCTATCCATCATTCTTAAAGTGTCCTGCAATTGATGGTTATATGCCAACTGGACTATTGCATTCAACTCTGGTTTCCACATCAGACATTGGCTTTCATAGATTCACACAGCGCAGAAGAGCCCTTTTGGCCCATCGAGTCTGCACCAACATAAAAGTGCGTTAACCCCAATTTCCTCCACTTGTCCCATATCCTTGAATGTTACGAGATTTGAAGTGCTTCTCCAAATCTTTTTTAAAGGTTCTTTTAAAAGTTCTGAGGAAGGGTCACCGGACCCGAAATGTTAACTCTGATTTTTTCTTCACGGATGCTGCCAGACCTGCTGAGCTTTTCCAGCAACTTCTGTTTCTGTTCCTGATTTACAGCATCCGCAGTTCTTTCGGATTTTGTTCTTCTTAAAAGATTGTAAGGTTTCCAGCCTCCACCAGCTTTCCAGGCAGTGCACTCCAGATTCCTATCACCCGCTGAATGAAAAGGTTTTCTCCCACCACGCTCCCCCCCACCAAATTCCCTCTGAATCTCCTGCCCCTTGCCTTAAAACTACGCCCCTCTTGTGATTGACCCTTCAACCAAGGGGAACAGCTGTTCTCACTTCACTCTGTCCATTCTCCTCGTAATCTTGTACATTGCAATCAATTCTCTTCCAATCTCTTCCTTCAGGCAGAAAATACAGAAGCTTGAACACACGCACCCAACAGGTTCAAGAACAGCTTCTTCCTAGCCGTTATTAGATTGCTGAATGGACCTCTCTAATTTCAAATCTAATGTTGATCATGCTTTTGTGCACCTCCTGTGCACTTGTATGCCTCGCTCTGTCTAAGCACCCTATGATCTGTACATCCTTGTTTGCTAGGATCTGCCTGTAATGCTCACAAAACAAAACTTTTCACTGTACTTAGGTACACGTGACAACAATAAATCAAATCCCCTCCTCGGTCTTCTCTGCTCTAAGGGAAACAATCTTGACACAGATCTGAGCTCACTGTGGCTTGCCTCCTTTGCTCGGAGGCCGAATTAGCACAGATTAGGCGCTGAGGCGGCCAGTGTTGTTCTGAGAAGATTGTTCTCCCTTTATGGGAGAGACTACAGCTAAGGGACACTGAGCCACCTTCTTGAACCGCCACAGTCCCATGCGGTGTAGGGGCACCCCCACAGCGCCATTAGGGAGAGAGTCCCAGCACTTTGACCCAGCGACAACGAAGGGACGGCCGGTATCTTCTCGACGCGTCACTGGGAGTGGTCGGGACCGTAGCCGTGCTGGGAAATTCAGCGACTCATCGCTCACCTTTATCTGCGCAGCAGCGAGAATCGTCCTGTTGGTCAGGCCTGGGGTCAGTGCCCGAGGAGGGGATTGGCAGTGCCTGGTGGTTGTATGTCTCGTGCCATTGACTGAAAGCTGCCTCAAAGGACTTGGCCAAACAGACCGTGATGGCCTTGGCTTTCTCTGCGTTGCTACACAGGAACACGCGACACTGCAGCTGCCCTTTGCTCTTGCAGATGTAGAGGAACACATTGGTGAGGCCTCTATCCGCCGTGCAGTAGGCGATGTCGTGGAGGTAGGTTTTGGTGATTTGCCGGCCGCTCGAGATCTCCTTCACCTCCAGATAGCGCGGTCTCACCACCAAGGCATGATCCTTGCAGGCCTTGCTGGGCTCCTTGTCCACCAGACGGTTAACCACCTCCCGGGTTTGTTCGACCTGCAGCGAGTAGATTTTCTCCATGCCCACGTAATGCACCTTGAACAGCGGATCGCCATGGGACAGACTCTTCGTCTTGTCCTTCTTGAACCGCCGGAAGACAGCCGGGGAGTTTTTAATGCTGTGAATGAAGTGGAAATTGTTGAGCGACATGATCTCAAGTGGTCCTCCTCGATGCTTTCTCGTCAGATGAGCCAGTCAGATCTGAATATGGAGAGAGAGACAAGAATTTCAGACAGGACACCGCTTTTTCTTTGTTGCCCGACCCTAACTGCCCTTAAAACCGAGTGGCTAAGTCAGAGGGTGCTTCAAAGTCAACTGTGTTGCTGTGACTCTGGAGTCTGTAAGACCGTTCTGGATAAGGACCGTAAGGATGTTAGTTGGCCAGGTGGGTTTTGAAAACAGTTCACGTCAGATGTCACCATGCCCGTTCCCTCAGACTAGCTTTACATTCTAGATCCAGTTGGAATTCTGCCAGCCGGAGAGATTTGAACCTACGTCTTTTTATCCCCTCCCTCATTAGTGGGGCTCAGGACTTGATTGAGTCCCACAACTCATACCACTATCTCCATTTGTGGGTCTCGTTGCATTCCCAGGTCTGACCCCACAGCCCCCAGAGAGTGAGGAACACAGACCAGACCATCACGCAAACCAGCCTTCCATCCTTTGACACAAAAACTGAAATTGTTGGAAAAGCTCAGCAGGTCTGGCAGTATCTGTGGAGGGAAATCAGAGTTAACGTTTCAGGTCCAGTGACCCTTCCTCAGAATTTCCATCCATTGACTCCATCTATACTTCCCACTGTCTCAGGAAAGCTACCAACATTAAAGACCCCTTCCACCCCAGTTTATACTCTTCTGTCAGGCAGAAGATATAAAGTTTGAATACATGTACAAATAGATTCAAGAACAGCTTCTTCCCTGCTGTTATCAGACTGTTGAATAGACCTCCCAAATTTTAATTCTGATCTCTCTCTCTCTCTCTCTGCACCTTCTCTGTGGCTGTACCACTGTATTTTGCACTCTGTCCTGCTACCCTGATGTACTTTGTATGGTACGATTGGCCTGTAGAGCATGCAAAACAACACTTTTCACTGTATCTTGGTATGTGTAACAACAATAAAATCAATCGCAGGTCAGGCACAGAGGTAAGCCATGCCAGCCAGAACGGAGATCAAACACCCTGCGCTCCTGTTGCCCAATCTGGCCCGCACCCACCATCCAGATAACACTACCAACCATAACCACCCGCCCCAGGAGGCTGAATCGCTGTAGCAGCATACACTTTTCCTTCATGTTGCAACTTGGAAGGAATGATCCGGGCTCCAATTCTTTTCCATCACGGGCTGACCAGGAATCTCTCTCGTGCTGAAAAGGAGTTGGAAGCTTTTGTAAAGCGACACTCAAACTGATTTGGTCCCGAACCCAGTGCTTCTGACCCAGAAGCGGGGAACGCTATCTCTGCGCCACAAGCCCACCTGAATATCGCTTGCTCGAGGGTATAAAGGGAGGAGGTCGACCACCACTAACTTGTCCACCCAGACAATGGTGACAGAGAGAGCACAGAAGTTTCCTCAAAGTTTCGTCTTTCATTAGATGTGCAGGTTAGGGTGGATTGGCCGTGCTAAATTGCCCGTAGTGTTCAGGGATGTGTAACTTAGGTTGGTTATAAGTGGTGGGTCTGGGTGGGATGCTCCAAGGGCTGGTGTGGACTTGTTGGGCCGAAGGGCCTGTTTGCACACTGTAGGGATTCTGTGTGATTCTATAGAGTCTTTCACAGCCTCAGGATGACCCAGCACGCCTTGCCAGCAACGAAGTAATATTTGGAGAGCAGTCACGTTTTCCAAACGTAAAATGTGACTACCAATCTGGGCACAGCAAGCTCACATAAACTGGAATGTATGAGCGACCTGACTGTCTGCTTTTCTCTTTTCTTGAATGACATTGGCGATGGCTCAACATTGGCTGCAAGTCACCAGGGATAACTCGCCCTCCACTCCCCTTTCAGACAGGAGCCCAGTGGGTTCTCTTTTACACCCACCTGAGAGGGCACGGCAGAGTGGCGCCTTCACTCAATGCCACACTCCCTTGGCACTGCACTGGGGAACGCCAGTCTGGATTTTGGTTCTCACATTTCTCACCCGGGACAGGTTTTTGGCTCTGACTCAAGAAGGAACTTAGCCAGAATTAACAAACACCAGAGAAGCATGGGCGTCTAGAGGAGCAAATATCCCTCTCTACCCTTTTGTTACTTTTCCTCCACAGTACAAACGGAACTTGGTAGCCCACCCAATTGTGGCAACCTTAGGATGGCCAATCAATCCGTTTTGCCCGGGCTGGTGCATTTAGACCTGCATCGTTTTGGTTTAGGTGGGAAAAGCATGGCAAGATCCCACCATAGGCAGATGCTCAGGTAACACCAATTCTCTCTCACAACACCCAGTTACAGCCAAAGAGGTTGTTTCTGTGTTGGATGTTCCAGAGCACAAGACATTGAGTATACGAGTTGGGATGTCATGATGTGGCTGTACAGGACATTGGTTAGGCCAGTTTTGGAATACTGCATTCAATCCTGGTCTCCGTGCTATTGGAAAGATGTTACAGACTCAGAGTCAGAAAGCACGGAAACAGATCCTTCGGTCTAACCAGTCTATGCCAAACATAATCCCAAATTAAACCAGTCTCACCTGCTTGATGTTATTAGACTTGAAAAGGTGCAGAAAAGATTTACAAGGACATGCCCAGTGTTGGAGGGTTTGAGCTACAGGGAGAGGCTAAAGTGGCTGGAGCTATGTTCCCTGGAGTGTCAGAGGCTGAGAGGTGATCTTATAGAGGTTTATAAAATCATGAGGGGCATGGATAGGGTGAATACCCAATGTCTTTTTCCCAGGGGGTAGAGTCCAAAACTAGAGGGGCATAGGTTTAAGGTGAGAGGGGAAAGATCTTAAAGGGGACCTTAGGGGTAACTTTTTCACACAGAGGGTGGTGCGTGTATGGAATGAGCTGCCAGAGGAAGTGGTGGAGGCTGGTACGATTTATAAGGCATCTGGATGGGTATATGAATAGGAAGGGTGTAGAGGGATATGGGCCAAATGGGACTAGATTTATTTAGGACTCTGGTCAACACAGACGAGTTGGACTGAAGGGTCTCTTTCCATGCGGTATGACTCTAAGACTCTATATCAGAGATCGCCTCACCGCGACATGCCCTCAATCCCACCTCTTCCTCAAATCACAGTGAAAGCAGATTTGCTTCATTCACGGCCATGGAGAGAAAGGATCGGGCGAACTTAACTTCCAAAAAGAAAAAAAAAGTGTACATACCTGAAAGAAACGCTTCCAGGGAGGCTGCAGATTGTATAGTGGAGCTTGTTCAATAAACCTGAACCCCTGACATTACTGACGGAGCTCTTTCTAATCCCATTGCAGTCACAGCAGCACACCCTCTAATTAAATCCTAAATAATTAACTCACTTTTTCCTCGACTGAGCACAGGGAATTAAATCTTTCCCTGGCAACCGCTCTGCCAATGAAAAGGTGAACCACAAATGGAGACTACCTTTAGAGTCACCACCATAGCAACCACAATACTCAAAGCTTTCACATGAGGAGATATCATACCCTTCTCTAATGTCATTGTATATGGAGCATTAAATTCCCCTCCCACTTGTTTATCAACCCACAGCAAATTTATACCAACAGCCAATTTGTGCACAGCATGCTCCCACAAACTACACTACAATGGGAGAGCCAATAAAGGATGTGAGGTCTTGCATTTTGGTAAGACAAACCAGGGCAGGACTTACACAGTTAAAGGTGGGACCCTGGGGAATGTTGTCAAGCAGAGACCTCGGGTTGCAGGTACATAGTTCCTTGAAAGTGGCATCACAGGTAGACAGGGTGGTGCAGATGGCATTCAGGCACATTTATCAATCAGAGCATTACGGGTAGGAACCGAAAGAACTGCGGTAAGGCCACATTTGGAGAGCTATGTACTATTCTGGTCACCCTGCTATAGGAAGAATGTCATTAAATTGGAAAGAGTGCAAAAAAGATTCACAAGGATATTTCCAAGACTGGAAGGTTTGAGTTATAAGGAGAGGCTGAAACTTTTTTTCTGCCCCCAGAGCATCAGAAGCTGAGGGGTGACCTTATAGGATGTTTATAAAATCATGAGAGGCATGGATAGGGTGAATAGACAAGGTCTTTTTTTTCCCTAAGGTATGAGAGTCCAAACGTAGAGGGCATAGATTTAAGGTGAGAGGGGAAGAATTTGAAAGGAACCTGAGCAGCAACTTTTTCACGCAGAAGGTGGTGCGTTTATAGAACACGCTACCAGAGGAAGTGGTAGATGCAGTTACAATGGCAACATTTAAAAGACATTAGGATAGGTATGTGAATAGGAGACGTTTAGAGGGATAAGGCAGGTAAATGGGAGTAGTTCAGTTTAGGAAACCAGGTCGGCACGGATGAGTTGGGCCGAAGGGTCTGTTTCTGTGCTGTACGGCTCAATCATATTGGTCAATAAAAGATAAATGTTGACTGTGGGGCAAATTCCTCCCCACCCCTCAAACTCTTCATCAAAATAGTAACCACCTGAGGGGGCAGACAAAATCTCGGTGCCATGCCTACTCAAAGTTGACAGTTAGCCCCCACCCCTCCATCAGTATCTCACTGCCAGCATCAGCCTTGGCCTGGATCTGAACTTGCAAACACCTAATTCAGAGAAGAGAGTGCCCGAGTCAAACATTTGGAGATCCACTGCACAGAGAAAGGCCCTTCAGCCCATTGAGTCAAAAACAACCACCTAACACTTGTAATCCCATTTCCCAGCACTTGGCCCCTAGCCTTGAAGGCCTTGGCATCCTAAATGTTTTTGCTCTCCCCGGCTTACAGGCAGCGAGTTCCAAATTCCCAGCACCTGCTGGCTGAAAACATTTTACTTCACATCCTCTCTAAACTTTCTGCTTCTTACCTTAAACCTATGGCTCCACTGAGGGGGAAAGGTTTCTTCCTGTCTACCCTGCACAACAATGTCTCTCCTTCCTCAGGAGGCTAAGGAAATTAGGCATCTAAGGTTTTGGAGTAGATTTGTAGCTCGGGTTGTGGGTGTTGGGGTTGGTTGGCTCGCTGAGCTGGTTCGTTGTTTCGTAGACGTTTCATTACCCTACTGGGCAACATCATCAGTGCAGCCTCCGATGAAGCGCCGTTGTGTTTTCCCGCCTGTTATTTAAACACCGGTGTCCATTGAGCTGGATTACCTCACTTCCAGTTTTCCTTCGCAATGGAGTGTATATGGGGTCAAGCTCTATGTGTTTCTTAGTGGAGTACCAGGCTTCTAGGAATTCCCATGCTCGTCTCTGCTTTGCTTGTCCCGGGATCTTGGTGTTGTCCCAGTCGAATTGGTGGTTCTCCTTATCCATGTGGATGGAGATGAGTGAGTATTGGTCGTGTCTTTTTGTAGCCAATTGATGTTCGTGTACCCTTGTGGTTAATTTCCTTCCTGTTTGTCCGATGTAGTGTTTGTCACAGTCTCTGCAGGGAATCTTGTAGATGACATTGGTCCTGTCCATAGTGGGTAGTGGGTCTTTGGTTCCGGTGAGCAGTTGTCGTAGGGTTGATGTGGGCTTGTGTGCCACTCTGATGCCCAGTGGTCGTAGGAGTCTTGTGGTTGTAGGAGTCTTGTGGTTGTAGGAGTCTTGTGGTT